CACATCCTCAGATTTAATCCATTTCTGAAGAGATCCTTCTGAGAATACATTTTCTTCCTTTATTGTGAAATCCCAAAGCTTATCACATTAACAAACATCTGATACATTCAAGTTATTTGAGCAGGGACAAGTGAGGGAAAAGGGAGAGTTTGCCATGAGAATATAAGTCCAGCACTATTTCTGTTCACGGAGTCACAGGATCACAGGGGTAAAAGGGAACTCCGGAGAACATCAAGTCCAATGCCCTGCTAAAGCAGGTTGCCTAGAGCAGGTCAACCCCCCTGGGCAGCCTGTGCCAGCGCTCTGTTACCCTCAGGAAACATTTTCCTCATGTATGGATAGAGCTTCCTATGCTCTAGTTAGTACCCATCGCCCCTTGCTCTGTCACTGGGCACCACTGAAAAGAACCCAGCCCCATCTACTTGACTTCTGCCCATTAGATATTCATAAGCATTGTTAAGATACCCTCTCATATAATCACAGAATCATAGAATGGCCTGGGTTGAAAAGAATCACAACGATCATCAAGTTTCAACCCCCCTGCTATGTGCAGGGTCAGCAACCACCTCCAGGGATGGGGCATCCACAACCTCCTTGGGCAACCTGTTCCAGTGTGTCACCACCCTCTGGGTGAAAAACTTCCTCCTGATATCTAACCTAAACCTTCCTGCCTTAGTTTAAAACCATTCCCCCTTCTCCTACCGCTATCCACCCTCGTAAGCAGCCGTTCCCCCTCCTGTTCATATGCTTCCTTCAAGTACTGGAAGGCCACAACGAAGCCTCCCCAGAGCCTTCTCTTCTCCAAGCCCAGTTCCCTCACCCTTTCCTCATAGGAGAGGTGCTCCAGCCCTCTGATCATCTTAGTACCCTCCTCTGGACCCGCTCCAAGAGCTCCACGTCCTTCCTGTACTGGGCGCCCCAGGCCTGGATGCAGTGCTGCAGATGGAGCCTCACAAGAGCCGAGTAGAGAGGGACAATCACCTCCCTCTCCCTGCTGGCCACCCCTTTTTTAATGCAGTTCTGAACACAGTTGGCTTTCTAAGCTGCAAGCACACACTGCTGGCACACATCCAGCTTCTCATCCACCAGGACTCCCAAGTCTTTCTCCACAAGGCTGCTCTCAAGGAGATCTTCCCCCCAATTTGTATAAATACCTGAGATTGCCCCAACCCAAGTGCAGCACCCTGCACATGGCCTTACTGAACCTCATTAAGTTTCCACAGGCTCACTTCTCCAGCCTCTCAGTCTTCTCCAGACTCAAGAGTCCTGGGTCCCTCAGCCTTTCCTTGCATGGGAGATGCTGCAGGCCATGAAGAACTGTCTTGACTCTCCACTGGACTCTCTCGAGGAGATCCCTGTCTTTCTTGAAACAAGGAGCCCAGAACTGGACACAGTATTCTCAACATGGCCTTACCAGGGCAGAGTGGAGGAGGAGGATCACCCCTTCTTAATGTATACTGGGATACCACAAGAGCACACTGCTGGCTCATGGTCAACCTGCTCTCCTTCAGGATACCCAGGTCCTTCTTGGCAGAGCTCCTCTCTAGCAGGTCAGCGCCTACCCTGTACTGATGCACATAATTAAGCCAAGCAACAAGAAACAGGTATTTTGTTCAATGATGTCAAAAGCATTTAAGCTCTAATATAAGGCCAACTGTGAATACTGGACTACAGTTGTTGGTCAGATGCAAGCAAACGTGTTTGGAGAAAGACCTGTGTAGCTAGAGAGAAGGGAGAAATGTGGAAGTCTGAAAGGAAATAAATCATCTGGACAATTTAACTGACCAAGCAGACATAAAATCTCCAACAATTAAAACACTGAAGTTACATTAAGTAATCCATGAATGCTCCTTTCTGTAACTTACATCTACTATGTCTTGTAGTGTCTCTCATACAGAGATGAGAATATACTCTTTGATATACTTTTAAATAAATATACTCTTTGATATACTCTTAAATTTAATCAGTGCCTATTACATACCTTCCAATTCTTTTCTTTAGGCTACATAATGTCAAAAGTTGGCACTTACTAAATTGTAAAAATTTGAGTTTCTTTATCATATTCCTGAACATGCAGCCCTAAAGTATTCGTAAGACAAGATTATGATCAGCAGTGCTACAAGCAGTTATCCAAAGAGGCAGTTCATCAAGGCAGAAGTACTGCGGAGGGTTTTTATATCCAACAGGTTCTGGTTTAATTTATCCTGCAAGAATCACATAATGACAGAATTACTCAGATCAGAAGGGACCTTGGGAAGTCTCTTTTCCAACCTCCTACTTCAAGCAAGTTCAACATGAAATTCAAACTAAGCTTGCTCAGAGTTTTGCCCAATTTGTTTTCATGGCACTAAGGGACATGATTTAGTAACTGGACTCAGTAAGTCAGGTCCATGTTTGCACTTCGTGATCTTGCAGTTCTTTTCCAACCTGAATGATTCTTTGAAAACCTCAAGCAACAGAGATTCCACAGTAGTTCATGGCCTCCTCAAGATTCAAACTGAGCAAAGTGATAACGTCTGATGCAACGTAAATCTACACACAAATTTTTGTAGTGTCAAATGATGTACTCTTCCTAACCACACCGCTGTCTCTGACCTATCTTTGCACTCCCAGGACACCACTATGTTATTATTGCCTTTTTGCAGACACTGAATATAGCATCAGACACATTCAGAGACGTACCTGAGTAAGAGTTCAGTAACTAAATAACTTTTAAATCCCATGCTAAGCATCTTGTTTAAGGTCACAGAAGGTACAAATAGAATAAACCTGAGCTTCCCTCTTCTGCTGAAGACTGATGGAAAGCGAACCATTTCAGTGATAACTGAAGGGAAGAATAACCTCATTCCTCACATGGGAAAGTAATAGTGTAAAAGCATGGCAAATTGAATACATTTTGGATATTCAAGTCTAAAACTATTTCATACGGTTATCTCCTTTTCTACAGCAACACTTCTTGTTCTCCATCCTGTTACTTGGAAAAAAATAACATTACATGTGATAAATCTTCCAGTGCTGCAAGTCAGAATACTCTTAAGAAGATTTTACTTTAACATGGAGTACAAGAGGGGAAAATAACTTCTGAGCAGACCTCACCAAGACACGAGATCTTTGCTTTTTCAATTAAGAAAAACGCAAGCCAATCACCCATGTGTGGAAGAGAAATGTGGCTGGTTATAGAGATGGACCGAGAGATGGCCAGTGGCTGCGCAAACTGATGTATAGAAGGTAGAGGAGCAAAAATCCACATGGGATGTTCACAGCAACTGTAATACAGCTGTGCTCACTCTGTTTCCTAAAGAGGCTAAAATTGGGCTCAACTTTTTACAACTCTCTAAAAACAATCCGTACAATTTATACACACATACAAATACATTAGAAGAGAGAAGAGACAGCTAATTTTGGCATCTAGAAGTGATATCTAGACAAACTATAAGTAACTGAATTGTGGGAATGCTTTACAGTGTTTAATGTTTCCCAAGTTTCTAAATTAGTTTTGGAGTTTTGACCAAAAGTATCTTTCAGACTTAGATCTTTACTTTCCTCCTCATTTCTAAAGCTCTCAAAATTCCCACAGTTGAAGATGCTGTGCTAGTCAAACTTACCACATGGCCTTCTGGTCCTCATCTCCTAACCAAGACAATGAAACTGTGGCTTGAGTCATCTCATAGGTACTGCAAACACAGGTCCAAATGCAGTCTATTAACTGGCTCATTTTGAAGCAAAAGAAAACCAAAATAGAACAGAAGATGAGCTGGCACAAGGCAAATGAGTCTTCCGAATTGAGAGGAACTTTGCTGATTGATATCAGCTGACAATCTGACCCAACATGTTGACCCAAGAACATTTGCTTTATAAACAACACACTTGCTCTGCCAGGAACCAAAACTATTTTCACATGGATGCACTGGGCTGCAAAGCCATTAGAGATAATAGTAAAATTAAACATGTTATCTGCTTTTTTCCTTGTAAAAAACGCCATCATTGTAAAATATGCAAATATTTAATCTCCCATGTTTTTCCACTACCTGTGTAAAAGATTAGTTTCCTGAACACAATTGAGTCAATAAGAAGAAAAAAAACAGAGAGGTATAATCACTGCATCAGCTCGTTTTCAAGCAAGTTTCACAAGGATCTGTAGAACTGGCTAGGTCTGGCAATGCTGTCAACCATATGAAAAATATATATCCTGGATCTACCAAAGATAAAACAGATGATGCACAACAGGTTAGGACATGCATCATCTCTGCTTTGCCCCAGGTCAGTTTACCATTAAAGTCCACAGTGTCACAAAGTATAGCATTATTCATGCACTTGTACCTGGATTCTAAAATCCTCAGCTACTCTACAGACTTTTTCAGAAAATTGTTATCTCCAAATCTACCTCTTCGGATACAAGTCATTCCAAGCAACTGTGACTGCGTAACTGTGGATTTAGAACTGATCCCTATCTCACTTCCCAGAAACTAACTTTTTGAACTCTTTTGGTGGTGGTGGATGTTAGTCAACAGTCAAGTCTTCAGTAAAACACTCACCTTCCAAGACGTTGCTTTCATAAAACAAAACAAAATGTATATAATTATAGTGATTTACACTGAACCTACGAGCATGACAACCTGAGACTGAAAAGAACCAAAACTTATTAAGAGATCCTGAAGCAAATTGGGATTAAAAAGAGCACTATCAGTTTGACTAATGCTTTGATGACAAGAGGTTTGGCTCCAGTCTGTTGAGCATGTTTGTGTCCCTTTGAGCCTGCCAGCAGCAGGCAGGATGGAGGGGAAGGAAGGACTGCTGTCCTACACTTAAGTGGCTCTTCTCAGCAATGCAGTTTTCTAATGCTAAATCATTGTTAGCAGTCTTGCAGTAATCTCCTATCTGATCTTCCCCAATTTTGCAGGGCTTGCAGGCATTCTTTACCATTGCAAATGCTTTCTGTCTCTTTCCTTCCTCCCAGAATCCCCATTTCTAGAGCAAAACTCAGTGTCCAGGTGACTCACCCCTAACATCTGATGCAGATAGTAATACTGCAACCCTCGGCAGTACAGCAGGAAGGTCTTCCAGAAGAACCACACGTTCAGTGAGAGCCAGAAAAACTAAAATCAGAAGAAAAGAGAGACTGGAAGTTATATGTACAGACTCTGCTGTATTAATTCTGTTTGTAAGTCACATGCATGTACGTTCTCTGTTTGTAAGCCACATGCATGTACATTCATAAAGATTTTTAAATGGAAAACAAGCTTAGAGCAGTTAACAGAAGTATTTTAATAGCAATGCGTGTGAAAACATAGCCTTTAGGTGAGACCTTTTCACTGACACTGAAAACACAAAAGTGAAGTTTAGCGAGTGAGGGCTCCTGGGAGCCGGCAAAGCACGAAACACAGCTCCAGGATCAAAGCGCAAAAACTGAGACAAAGGCAGGACGAGCAGGACCTCCGGACCCCCAAACTTTGCCCAGAAGAGCTAACAAAGAGCAGACGCTGCCCGCGCCTGGACCCGCAGCGCCCTGCGCCCGCCCACCCGGCGCCGGGTCCACCTCACGGCGGGCGGGAAGCGGCGCCCCTCAGCGCGGGGCTGCGCGCCCCCGTCCCGACCCCGAGGCAGCGCCCTACCAGAAAGAGGTGCTTGCTCCCCTCGTTAGCCAGCCAGCTCCTCCACGACACGGCCATGGTGCTCCGCCCGCCGCCCCCACCACGAGCAACGCCGGCGGGGCTCGCGGGGCGCCGGTGGTGGGGGCGACGGGCGAGCGAGCCCTCCTTTTCAGCCGGGCTGGGCCGGTCCTCCCCTCTCCCCACCCCTCACCCCCCGCCCCGTCTTCCGGCCGCCGGGGCGTGCGCTGCGAACGGGACTCGTCGAGCTCCCCGTGGGGCCCCTGCGCTTTGTCCCGAGCGGAGTGCCGCAGCGACCGCCCCCGGGCGGGTTCGGGGTCCCCAGAGCCTCGTCCCCGAACGGCGACTAGAGGGAAAACAAAGAGGCTGCCTGAGGAACGGGCTGCGTGTGGGGTGCTTGGAAATGGGAAGGGGCAGATTTGGCTGCTGCGGGTTTGACTGCTCCCTCAGGTGTTCCTAGGAGTTAAGGGTGGGTCCTCGACTGGTGTGGATACCATGTCCCCATATAGAGTGGGTTGGGTTGAAAGGGACCTTAATGCCAACTTTATGCATGCATCAGTACAGTTCAGGGGCTGACCTGCTGGAGGGGAGCTCAGTGGAGAAGAGTCTGGGTAACCGGATGGTTAACAGGTTGGCCATGAATTAAAAGTGTGCCTTGGGACCAGAAGCCCAGTGAGATCCAACTATGCATTAAGTGTGGCCAGCAGGATGAGGGAGGTGATCCTCCCCTTCCACTCTGCTCTGCTGAAGTAACACAAAATACTGTGTCCA